ATGGGTTCATCATTTTCTGAACACTCGTCATCACTATCACTGTCTTCGTCATTTTCAGAACAATTTTTGTCTACCACAAAGGAAAAATCTTTGACAATATTTGAAGCATTATCACTTACAACTGCTGTAATTTTATTTGCAATGTCAAAGCATGCCAAAGCCTCCTCGTATGCATATGCAGTTCTGATGTTTTCTGAAGTATGTTTCCCTTGAAACCAGTTGTAACTTAAATTCCACTCCAAATTAGCTACCAATGGTCACGTTAACGCTGTCGGCCATTTTCAACTGATGTATTGTTTCTGATCGGTGTTGACTTTTGATTCGATGCTCAAGAGCATGTCCTGCTTCGAACAATTTCTATACCGAGGTAGGCTACTGAAAAAGATGTTACAAGGGTATCAACAATCTCGTTTAAATTCAACGTTTAGCAAATTTTATAATCGATAAATGACCTTGTTTACAAATACAACCTGTCTTTATGTCTAAATTTGACCGACGTTTTAATACAAATTGTAAGGCTTTTATTTGCATACTAAATTGTCCATCAATTTATCTGTTTTTCCAATCAAGAAAAGGCTTCCAGAGGGTGTCACCGTTCGAAAAGAGATGCTTACTCCTCCATGGCACCTGATCCCGCCTCAAATGTTCTCTGGGGTCCGTTTCTTTTAAGTATAATCTATAATTGTTGATCTTACATTATAAAGGTGTAACCGCAAATTCTACTGGAATGGTTATGCTTTTGAAGATTATTCTCTAATATTTTTGGAAACTTTCAATGAGAATTGATATGTATACAAGTAATCATGTGACACTTTCATGGATGTTCTCATCGCATCAAATTGTATTTGAAATAGTAATTTTACTTTTTTATTTTTGATAATTGATTTTTTTAATTAGTGTGGAAAATGAACAACCGACGCACTTGTGTCATTCATAATTGACAATTTGCGGCAAATCACATTATTTATTATTTCCATCCTTTTGTATCGGCGGATCCAGGATTTTCACCTGAGGACTCGAGGGATATATATTTTGAAATCTAGCGTAAAGGAGAAGGGTTCCACCATAAGTGTCTCAAAGGAAAAAGAATGTAGTCCAGAGTAGTCATTTGTGGGCGTCAAAGTTGAAAGATCTTTAGTTCATATGTTCTTGCCATAAAACTGAACGCATCACACACACACCACCACCACCACCACCTCCATAGGTCCTTTTGATTTCTTTCGATCCATTGTATTGGTTAACAGACTGAAGTATTTTCAAGATAATTATTTATTAGTTTCGAGCTAAAAACTCCGTACAGGATAACACTTTTTTTTTTTTGCTTGAATGGTATAGTGCATAATGTCTGAAAAGCACAATTACCACAACATTAGTTCTAATAACATATTAGAAGTCTGTCAATTTCATGCCAGAGGTCTCAGTGCCAAAGAAAACAACTTAGATGACCATTTTGTATTATCGGTATGGCTTGAAGTAATGGTAGAATGCATAGGGGCATTACTCCTCTTATCAAACAATGCAAAGTCACTGCAAAGAAAAAACAAAGTGTCTGAAATAAATAAACAATCTTCACTAAGATGCCACTACAAGGCCTCAAAACATCGATCTCAATAAGGAAAGCAATATCAATGCAATAGCACTGCGAGAAAATTAATTATAAACAGAGATGTGCAATTAGTTTCGACACTCCAGAAGATGACTGTTGAATCGGTGCGAGATTCAGCGACAAGGCAGGATTATTTTTTAAACATTAAAGCTCTAGATAATATATGCACAATTTGTGCACAACCAATTTTGAGGTCTGTATACAATATAAATCTATAGAGACATGCAGTCAACAGTTACAAATAGATTGGGAAGTTTTAAAAACATATTCGACACAACACCATATTTCAACAATTCATGAAATATACTACCATATGTCGATTTTTTCCCCCAGGTTTTTATTTCGCCAAGAACAATGAAAATTGTTATACCTTTTAAAAATTGTTTCCTGTGTAATTCTATACTTTAAAAAGTCTAACATTTTTAATGTTTTACTGAGCGGTCATAAAAAAAAATTCAATGTTTGACCGCAGAGCGAGATATTGGACCTGTCGATGAGATGTTGGACCGCTTACGTCACAATGTGGGCGCGGTCAGCTGTATCTTATTTGTACTCGTTGGAGTTTGACAGAACTTTACGGAATTGACCAAGTTTAAACCGCGGTGCTGGTAAACAATATTTACATCATGTTGTGTCAAAAAAATAAAAAGTAAAAGGTATAACAAAACATTTATTGACTGGGTTCGAGGGCAACATGCGTTTTGTCGACCCCTCGAACCAAACTGTTTGTCTTCGGCCTAACGGCCTCAGGCAAACAGTTTGGTTCTTGGGTCCGACAAAACGCATGTTGCCCTCGAACCCAGTCAATAAATGTATACTGTTTTCGAAATTGCGAAAACTAAACGATAGTAGGCCCTATAGACGATTCAAATACTATATTTACAGCGTATGGACAAAAATATTTGTTAAAACTAATTGAGTCTTATTCGTTCGTTTCTATGTTTGTTCAAAGGGTTTAATAAGAAAAAAATAAAACATGTCAACTCAAAAATCATTAGTCTATATCTTAAAGATTTTTTTTCCTTTATACTGATAAATAAATGTCAAAAAAATATACATACGGTGGTATATTTAGGCCATGCAAAAATTTTTTTTTACTTCACACGAGATATTAATTCGTTCACATGACATAATATCTTGTTCGCACGACTTAATATTTCGTTCGCGCGAGATAATTATCTAGTTCATATAAAGATATAAAGATATCAATTCAAGTTGCAGAATTTACATTCTCGTGACATTTTTTTCTTTACCTCCGCCACCTGTCCTCAGAGAAATTAAAGATAATTCACAACACATTTTTGATAGAAATTGGAGTGATGGTGTCTTTTCTGAAAGACATCTAAAATGGTTTATTACAAAAAAAAACTTCAACAAATTAAACGTGTGCATGTAGTTCATTTCTTTTATATTGCGATGGTCCTTTTGCTCTTCGAAGAATCAATTACTAGCCAATACGTTCTATTTCCATTAGTGAACTCTTCAAAATCAGAGGCGCGTTTGGTCGTTTGACTGGGACAGCATGGTGTTGCAGATAATACGAAACACGCCAATCTCAATCCAAGTTTAAATGTTAAATGTATTTGTCATTCAAATTAAAGAATAGAAGAACTAAAAGACATATGTAACAGAGCGAGAACCCTAAATTTATCATCCATTAATAAAAAATACTATATTTCCGAGGCATGTGTATTGTATTTAGATGTACCATACGATAAATAGATAAATACGATCAACAATAGATGTAAATTGATATCGTTGTCATTCCTACTCTTGATGTATATAAAGTCCACAACAATAAAATATTTCATTTGCATTTTCTTAGGATTTGTTCATCTACATTCAACATATTGTTTACATGTTTACGTTGCGCTTGTCCCAGAAATCCCGCGAGATTTGTACATTTTCCGACTTTTTCACAAAAGAGCGCACTAAGAAGTATAACTCTTTCATAGTGGAAATAGAACGTATTCTATTTACATATACTGAGTAGTTTACAAGCACATGATTAGAATTTTCCAACTTTCGCTTATCCACATACTGAAAATCAACTTCTGTGTGTACCCCCATACTTTGGTCAGTTAAATATATAGTCAGTGCATTGTATATATATATATTAAAAAAAAAAAAAAAAACACTTATCTCTATCTCGTACGAATGACATATTATGTCGTGTGAACGATATATTATGACGTGCGAATGAGATAGGCATTGAATTCTTTTGAAAAAGGTATAGTCTCATAACTGCAACGGTGTGTGCAAACTGAGTAACGCGCATTAGTTTGCCTTGACCACAAATGTGATTTATATTTCAAAATCCCTGTATTATCCTTCGGGTAAGTTACAATTAATGGAAGAGCCATTGCAACAGCTTCTATTCAATGTGAGCGTAAATTTTGATTTTCACTGATGACGTTGCACTTGTGCGGCGCGCTCAAGGTTTGTGAGGTCAAAATAAAATACACTTTAACGGTTAGACCCCCCTCCTTGTTAAGGTGTTTTGAACGCCTTCGCTTTCCACACATTTGATAAGCAATATAAATATGGAATATAACAGTGAAAAACTGTACTTATTGAATGAAAGTGATGTCACAGTGCAGAATATTGATCAGAAGTGCGGCAAAACTTGAGATTGACCTTCCCTTCCTGAAGAAATTTATAATAAATGCTTAATATTTTTAATTAATCGTGCTCGTGAAAATATATATTAAAAATTCCTGCCCCACTCGTGAATAAATTCCATATCCAACTACAAATCATTGAATATCCTCTATATATTTCGTTCGAACGACATGATATCTCGTCGGAGATATAAACATGGTACAGTGTATTTAAAACGAGATAATCATTATTAACATTTTTTTATATCTTGTGATTATATTTAGATGCTAATTTCATATGCCTATATATGACTGTAAATATGTTTTGATGCAGGACCACAATGAATAATATATAATTATTGCTGTTTTTGAGGTCAATGCGATGATTTAGCCACCTGAGGAGTACAATATTCACCAAGCCCGAAGGGCGAGGTGAATATTGTACTTCGAAGGTGACTAAATCATCGTATTGACGAAAAAACAGCAATAATGTTTTATTATATGATTCGATTTATTAAAGGATACAAACTCATTCAGCAGTTCATGCCATCTTACTTGTTTACATTCGCTGAAGTCCTTACTAAACGCGATAAGAGAAGCATTTGATTCAATTTGACGATACATGAAAAATGACCTAGGCCTAGATCTGAGATTTATATATTAATCCCATGAAGTTCTTTGTCCTTTTATCAAAGATAAAAACATTGTCGATTTTCCCCTTTCTTTTCCTCTCATGTCTCTTCTTGGCTTTCGTAGGAAGTGCCATTCGGAATTCCCTCTTCCAAGGTCAACCAATCAAAACGCAGAGCGCGGCAGGGAAACACCTGTCTTACGCACAGCTCACATGCTACCGAAAGTGACTTCACTAAACTCATAGAGCTCTTGAGAGTCCGTCGATAAAAGATTCGCTGTTTTGTATTTTCTTCAAACATTCAGGACTACTTTAAGTCGAGTGATTCGGTGTACAAACGTTCAAATTCTTTTCCGCTTTGACATTTTTTCACCTGTCCGTCCAAATGTCGGTGCCTGCCACGGCGATAGCTTCACCAGAAGCCTACAAGAATGCCAAGCTAATGACTGTTCCTGATGTCGATATAGACAAAAGTGGAAAATTCAAATATGTGTTAATTAAGGTGCACGATCCCTCTGGGGATCGGGTATTCAAACACATTGTGAGAGGGTACGGCAGATGTGACTATCACGGTAAGTGATGATGCTGCTCGCCTTGTTACCGTTAGATGTACACTCTGATAATTGGACATGGCGTGCACAATGTAGAGATTGCCTCAGGGTAGTATGGGGGGAACCATGCACAGTTCTGAAAGTGAGTCCTTATGACTACTGCTGAGTTAATAAGAAGTAATACTTGTTGCAGTGTCACAGTGAGATGGAAGGAGTAAGGTTTCTTTTTAAAAAAAAAAAGTGGAACAGGGAGGTTTAGGGAAAGTCAAGTTTGGTACATTATCAGCAAGCATTTGCATGGCAAAAGCTTTCCTGCAGGAGTTTGCATCATTTTGAACTACTTTCTCCAATCAGGGACCTATATACTAAGTATATAGGTCCCTGTTCCAATGTATTGTAAATTAAAAAAAAAAGGATTAAAAAAGGGATTTTTGCAAACAGCATCCTCCTTTTTTTAATATTAATTTTGTTATGTATAAAAATATAATCATAACTATCATCAGGTGATCCAGATGGCTAATGACTAAGAAGTCATAGCTCTTTAGTCTTTCTGGGGCAGGATATAAATCAGTGGCTTTTTTTTAACCTTTTCAAAAAAGTTGAACGTGTTCATGTCCAGTTTAAATATTCCAACTTTGAGGTGTGGACCTCAATTACTAGAGAATAGCCTAGCTTGATCACTGACTAGTATCATTTAGATCACCATTTCCATCTAGCTTTTATCTGAGTAACTTGATGACATTAAATCTGAAATGACCATCTGGTTTCCAGATTGATTTTTATTACTCTGATCATTGTAGCATATTAATGCAATGATGGGGGTATTACTTGTACAGTGTTGATTTGGATTTAAGTGGAATTATTTACAACATAGATGTGTCATATTTTTTTATGGGATGGCCTGATCTCTATCCTGGCAACTTAGAGTTCCTAACCTGGATTCTTAATCATTAATTCACAGGCTCAGAAGTCCACAATAGGGCCAGTCCATACAGGACTAGGTTAATCTGGGTTATCTTGATTATCTTAATCCACAATATTTAATCTAGGTTGCCTTCATACTGCAGTTTCATCCTGGGTCAACTGCGACCTTGTCTAGTTAAGTTAATCTGGGTCAAGTTAACCTAGCTTAACATGACCTTCAATTTTCAGTCATCTACAGTCACACTGCATTTGTTATTTTGGGTTAAATTAGCTCATCTTTAGCAATGTTGTTATTGTGAAATAATATGAATTCACAGTCAATAGTTTTTAATGACACTATTTAGAGAAACTTCCCTTGAATGCACTCTTTTTTTTTTATGAAAGTTTTTTAATAAAATCCAAATCTTGTCAAATTTTTGGGTACAGTATTTGAGAGGTGCCTTATTCAACACTCACACTTCATCCTAGCATTTTTGTCAGAATGATCAATGGTTTGCCAACACTCCCTTAATCAGAGATTTTTTTCAACCCAATGGGAATGGTTCCCATACTGATTCAACTGGGAAAAAAAGTGCCAAAATAGAACCAATTGGGATTTTCTATTATATCAACAAATGACATTTAAATTATGCTTATTCTAAACTCATTAACTTTTAATCCAAGCTTTCATCTCAGGCTTCAATGAACTGTTCCAAGATCTTGCACCAAAATGTGTCTATCCTTGTCTCCACTATCCATCCCCTACACTTTGCATGTTTCCAATACCAAAGAGTTCCTATGCAACAGGTAATCTCAATAATAGCTATTCTGGTTTAAGTTTACCAAGAATATTTATATGAGTTTATTTTGGCCTGAGTATATTGAGTTAAGTGCCGTAGGAGGAGAATCAACCTCAGTCTGTGACACCAAAAATTGCAACTTCCTCCCTCAGACCCCAAAAAGAAATGAGGAGAACTGAGGAATTTTCTGACAGATATAAATTAAATAAAAAAGAAATAGGTGTACTTTTTGTAAGGATAAATTTATGCAAACTGGAGGTTGAACTTTATTTGTGAACCAGCACATATATTTATAATCATATTCTACATATTAACTGGATCTGGACCCATTTGACCCCCCCCCCCCCATTTTACAAGATCGGTGCATCAGCTGTGAAATTTAAAATACTCTGAAGCAAAGAGTTATGTACACATGAATATTGATGATATAAAACCAAGAAGGAATATAATAAAATATAAATGTGGCATTAAAGATTTTAACTTCGAAATGTATGCATTCAAAGTGTATTTCTTTCATTTTGAGTAATAAACTGTCTTGAAATACATCCTCAGACTTAGACATCTTGTAGTCAGATTGAATTTTGCACAACCACTTATAGAGAGATAAATATGCAAAAGACTTGGAAACTTTAGGTACCTTCAGAAGTGAACATTTAACAGTTCATTGAAATAATTAACTCAATTTTTTACTTTATCCTATTCACATCAGAGTTTCAGTTAGACATGACAGTCCAAAAAATTGATGTCTGTATACATGAACACATATTTTAAAAGATTAAATTTTTAGATTTGTTAATGGGTACCAGGTATTTCACAGTTTCATTCACACAGCTATGTTTACTATACTGACCCCAAACTAACTTTTGGGGGAAAAAAATCAGCCTATGTACTCTTCAGGACCTGGTTAAAGCTAGTCCTAAAAACACAATACCGAATGATTCACCTCTTTTGGAGCACTTTTTGCAGTACTTGGGATTTTTTGTATTTCTGTTTAGTGCTTATTTTTGGTAAACTTCAAAGAGAAAATCCCTGGAGTTCCATTTATTATTCATGGACAAAAACTTCATCCTGAAAAGTAAGGTTCAATTTGGCAGCCATTTCCCATTCATTCATAGGGGATAATCAATCATCAATAACTACATTTGTCACAAGAGCTAAAAGAGAGAAAATTGACTCATTTGGCACTGAATCATGATAAGTTTTCCACATTAAGTGGAAAGGACATGTTTATGAAAATGAAGAAACTGTTATATATGAATAAATGCTTGTTAAAAAAAAATGAAAATTGACATCTTAAAAGCGTGCAAGATGAAATGAGTTGTAATAATTTTATTTTTTTTTCAGTTCCAAAGCTGGTACATGTTTTAGTAGATCGTGCAAAAACAATTATCAGTAAGAACATTAAAGAACATATAACCATGCAGACTGACTTGAATAATATTATTTGCCATGTTTCTTTGTGATTGAGTAGATGTTTAACATAGCAGTGATATTAAGGATGAGTTAGGGATAGGGAAAAACAGCCTGACTTTTACCTCATGCTCAAGCATAGACATTGCTGAAAGTGATTCACAAACTGTGCCTCGCCTCCCAGTTATAATGTTAGGTCAGGGAGGATAGCATTGTTGCATAACAGCATTGTTGGAATACATGGTTATACTCTGTCTTTCCGTTTCTTTATCAAAGGTACCATTATATATGGTTAACCACTATTTATACCCATGTCATGTATTTTGTGTAATATTGTTCTAAAAATATGTGGCTGTGTTATATGTTGCAACATTTCAGGAGGCACAATATTTGATAAAAAATGATAATACTAGAGATTGAGATTAATTGCTTCCTGGAGGAGAAAGTTTTGGGGGCATCAGGTGGGGGTACTGCACTAGACACTGATAGCTAGTTTCACCAGCTGTTTCTTGGAAGTATGGAAATTTTGACCTCATAACATAATGAAGCATCAGAAATTTTAGAATTGTAATAGACATACATTGCAATAATGACTGACAGAAAAATCTATTGTCATATTTTTTTTAATTTAAGATCCAGCAGAAATGAGTATGAAGTAATTGAACCCAAACATTATAAGCTTATGTCTCTCCCTGTTCTAGGACTAGTATGTATAATGCCATTAAATTCAATCTTTTAAGATGTTTTTTGGTAAAGGATATACATAATAATAACCCTTATTTCCCTCATGTGAGTTTTTTTGTGGATCAGGCACAAGATAAATAGAATTGTACGGTGTCTGTCATTACACGTGTTTGGCTTGTAACAGTACGTGGTGTGTCTGTTCAGATAAGTCTTGTTTCCACTGAGAAGCAGAGTACAGTGTGTCCTCAATGGAATTGCTGCACAGACAAAATTTGTATAGGTAGATACACAGAGCACTATACAGATAAGATTGTAGACTTTTGTTCAGAAGTAATTTCCTGAATGGAGTGGAAGTAAAGGGCGTTGATATATATACGCTCAAAAAACAACAGGTTCATTTAAAGTGTGAACAGCTTTACTCTCGAAGAAAATCAAGAGTAGAGCAAGCCTAGTTGTAGCTGTTTCATAGAATCTCACAGGGAATTGGTCACATTTTCTAATATTGAGGATCTTTCTAAATCTTTAACAACCACATTGATTGCTTATCCTAGGCAGAAATTGGTTCTAGCAGAACTTAATTGCCAATATTTCTAAGAGTGAATACAACCCTTGGAAGGCTTTATTGAGACCAAACTTGCGTTTTGTCTCGAAGAAATATTGATGCCTTTTAAATATGTCAATCAAGGGCCCAAAATCATGACTGGTTCTAATTATTCTGTGAATGATTTTTTTCGGTTTGAAAACATGTATGGTATTTTAGTCAGTAATGTTAAGTAAACTCTGGAAAATATTTTTTTTTTGGGGGGGGGGGGGATTTACATAATATGCATTCATTAGACTTAACAAAAGAATCATAAATTGTTAGGTCTGACATAAGTTTTTAGGCATGAACCAGCAAGAGGATTTTAAACCAATATTCTAACCAGAAGCATTTACAGGAAATGGAAAATATGATTAATTATAAGATTGAATTTAAGTTGTAAAATGTAATTTCTATATTAAATAATGGTGTAGAAAAATGTTAGTGCTTTCAGGTTGGATGAAGCTTAGGCCAAACAAAAAAATATGTGTGGTTCCGGTTACACTTCCAAAAAAATTAGGGTAGGTAGGTAGGGATTTTTTTTTTTTTTTTTTTTTAACAAAATGATTTTCTTAATTTTTTCTAAATAATACCTATCACTGCTTTGCAAATGGCATTTAGATGTGGTGTGATAATATACTAGT